AAAACAGAGAAAAGCAGCAAATGACCACACAAGAAGGTAAAATGTTTGATTGTGTCATTAGAAAATAGAAAATATATTGTCGTTATACAACATCTGATTGCATAATGACTTCACCAGCTAACGTGATCCATGTACTGATGTATTGTGACAAACGGTGTACGTTAGCTCTCTTTCTGTCACCAGTTAGGCTTCAAGGTCTATGATTATCATACGTAAATAGTATTATAAAGATCTATATTGATGACATTTAAAAATTGAAATGACTCCTCTAAATCAGTGGTTCCCAAACACTGACTTTGTCCAAAAAGAATCCTGTTAAGTCTGTATGATTGTTAGAAATGATAAAAATACATAATCCAGTCAGAGGAAACTAATGATAAAAAAGGACTCCCTTAAGGAAAAAGGTTGCTGCTCTAAATCACTTCTGTTTATTGGTCTTAAATGTGGATCACATGGTACCGACATGTTGAGGGAGAGATACTGCGTTTTTTAGCCCAAATTGTATCTGATTTACACGACTGAGAGATTAAATGAAAAGGAAGATGCGCCCTATCAGCTTCAGAGTGATAACCACTGAGATCAGCTCTGTAGAAAACTGTTTAAAATGTAAAAAGTGGATCAAACACACAGACATTAAGGTTTCCCTGCTGCATGAATAAGGCAGGATATTATCTTAAGATTACAGCCTGCTGTATGAATTAATAATGATGACATGAATGTCCGGATCCTTTCTGTCTGTTTCACGACTTGTCTCCCCGTGTCGTCCACAGTTCAGACCGAAGCTCCGGTTAACCTGACCCATGAGCTGGCCGATGCTGGCGGGGACGAGATGGGCCACAACGCACTGCTGTCCTGGACGTACCCGGTGCCCTCTGACCTGAAGTACGGGTGGATCACGCTGGTGTACGAGTTGCAGTACAGACGCATTACCGAACCCAGCAACTGGAAGGTAAACAGCCTCACATGGTGCCAGATTAAGTAACAACGTTTACTCAGGACACTGTAAAATAAATCTGTAAGTTTACAGCGCTTTTCCCACTTATGTAATAATAATACAATTAAAATAGCCTGTGAATTTATGTCTCATGTTAAATAATGTGACAAATCTGTAACTGTAAATAATCCTAGAATTACTGCTTAAAAAAAGAAAAGGTACATTTGATAATCTGTACTTTTTTGCAGATATTTACTCTTTATTTAATAGATCAAACGGTTCAATTCAAGTAAATACATTTAATACATTTCTAAAATTGTGTAAAATGAGTGACAATTGTTCAGTAATTTTACATGGATTTGCAAATTAATTATCCAATTAAAATCCCTTTATTACATCACTATGGCAGACTACATCAATGGGACTTGACTTAAAAACATGAAAGGGTCCATAAATACTAACTGCCTTCGACTGCTGGTCAAACTCATTATAGATCAGATTAATCTACTCAGTGGTGCAGAGTGGCTCAACATAAATCTAAATGATGTCATTTGTTGTTGTTTGTTGTCGTCAGGTGAAGTACCCTCTGCGGGAGCCTCATGTGGAGCTGCTCGGCCTCCCCGTTGGCGACTACCAGGTCCGGGTTCGCTGTCGATCGCACAACTCCCGCCTGTGGAGCAAATGGAGCTCCTCGCTGCTGATGAGCATCCCCGCCAGGCCGCCCGCAGGTATGCCGACTGGGAGGGTATCCATGACGACAGCGACGGCGTGATGATTTCATTTAACAGTTTTTTAGTAGTTGTTCGTATTAGATATTAAAGCTGCAGTAGGTAACTTTTTAGGTCATTTTTTTTAAACTTTCACTTTATCCTGACAGTAGAACATCTGAAAGTGATAATGCAGCCTTAATCCTTTTATTGGATTGGCTTTGGATAAAATTTATTTTCTTTTCCAATTAAATGTGTAGTCCTAAAGCTGTAGAGGGAGTAGGAGGAACAGAGAAGAGTGGACAGGTGACTTTAATGAACTCTCTTGGTTGGTTGAACCTGTGCAGGTAGACTCCTGGTGTGGATTCTGGTGTCGGGAGTCGGTGTCGTGGCTTTGCTGGTTATCGCCTTTGGCATTATTCCACAGAGCAAGAGGTGAGAACACACACACACAGAAACAAGCTGAGCTAACGTTAGTAGGTTATATACAGTTTTAATTTTATATACATAAACACCCAGGAAATAAATCTGCAGTGCGTCTTTTGAAAATGGTTTCATCCTCACATCTTTCAGAATAAAAGACTACTTCCTGCCGCCTATTCCAAAACCACGGATCATCGGCATCGACCCGTTGCTCCTGAAGGTAACACACACACACACACACACACACACTTCTCTTCCTAACCTGTCTCCCTCCTTTTCTCACATCTTTTCCTCACTCCTTCTACCCCCCTTCCTTCTAATTCATGCTTTCCCTTTTCTTGTCCTTCCTTCCTCTTTAATTTCTCTCTATCTTTTCTTCTATACTAATTTTATTTTCCTCATTTCCCTCTTTGTCCCCCTTTTTTTTCTCCACTCTGCTTTAATATTTCCTTCCTCTTCCTCTTTCTTCCTACGTTTACTTTCCCTCCTTCCTGTCATACAAGTACAGGTCCATTTACACCGTTCCGTGTTTTCTGTCTCTCCTCCTATTATCCTTTATCCTCCCTCCTTTTCTCCTTCTTTGTACTTATCATTCGATCCTTCTCTTGTTGTAAACTGTAACATTTTTCATCTCTCCTTCCTTTGGCTTTTTTTCTTTTCATTTCTTCCCTCTCTGTCTTTTCTTCTTTTCTTCTGCCTCTCACTTCCACCAGCAGAAGGGGAACTTGGATGAAATCAACCGTCACTTCAGTAACTTCCACAGCTACAGACCTCCGAGCTACACTGAGGAGGTCTGGGAACAGGTCAACGCTGACGACATCTATCTCACCCCGACGAAGGACTGCAGTGTCCCAGTCGACCCAATGGACAGGGAGAAGGAGGCCTTGATGGTTCCATATCACCTGATGCCTGTGGCCGCCCATCATCAGCTCACAACCCAAAACCCATCATCGTATGTACTGAGCCTGTTACCCTACTGCTCCTCGCCTCCTGAAGCCTTCGCCTCGTCGCTGGACGTGTCTTCCCCGTGGCCGAGGCCAGAGATAGTATCTCTGCCAGGGACAGAGTACAGCGTGATGAAACATCCCGGCCATCGCAGCGCCGTCCCTGCTCCTGACACACTCGCCACCAACCGCTCACCACAGGATTTCTACACCTGCGTCCAGCTCATGAATGAAAGGGGCCAAGTGCATCTGGTGCCGTGCCTCCCGCCGGCGTACAGCCAGGAGTTCCCACCTCTCCCGAAGCTCGATTTAGATGCAGGGGATAAGGAGGAGAAGAAGAAGCAGTCCGACTACCAGGCCAGGAAAAACACAATGAACCAACCGAATGATGGTGGCGAAGCTGAGAGCAGCGAGGCGGCTGACCCTTTGCTGCCCGTTGCTATTGACAACCAGGGTTAAGCCGAGATCCACAAAAACACAAATAGTGTGAGCGCTGGTAAATGTGCTAAAACATGGAGACTGTCGCCATGTCCAAAGTGAAACCGCAGGACATCAGCCTCGGAAGAGCCTTTTTTATTTTGCAAAAGTGCAAACCTCAAATTGAAAAGTTTTTGTGAACAAAAGAAACAATGCAAACTCTATAGAGCACTAGTCCTAGCCGAGCATTTTTTTAGGTCACCAACACATTTTCCTTTGTAAATGGTCTTACCATGGTTTAGCATTTTAGGCAAAGTGAAAGTTGCAAATATGATTATTTATTGTGTATATATATATTAGGGCTATCACTTTCTATTTCGAAAGTGTGTGTAATGACCTGTTTGAAATGATCCAGAAGTGATCCAGCAGAGCGCGCTCCACTATCAGCTTGACCTATGTTTATAGATAAGTTTGTTTTCGAAATTCATTTGGACGTGATTTTTGGATAAAGTGACAGCCCTAATATGGATTAAAAATCAAAGGCAACTTGTTTCAGTGAGAGTAAAGGATCTAAATGCTCAACAACGGCGTCGCTTTCAGGCAGAACATCAGGGAATTTAGAAGTAAGTTTGTTGGTCGATGTGACGCGTTCATCACGAATTGACAGGGATTGGTTGAATTCGCATTAATTGTTGTGATCGCATTCCTAGTTATGTTTTCATCAGTGTAAAATCACCTGAAAATAAGAATTGTCGTATTTTGAATTACCTTAGAATTAGCCGTTTTTAGCTACAGACACCGCTGGTCGCCTTTGATGGAGGCCGCCATGTTTAACCACCATGTTTCTACAGTAACCCAGAAAGGACAAACCAAACACTGGCTCCTAGATGTGTTGTTTTAACGCATTTGGTGGCCACCGTGGTTTCACCTTCAATTCAAAACTAAATTGTTGCAAACAGGCGTTCTGTGTAGAATAATATGGACCTGCCAAGGAGTTTAACAGATTTATGGGTAATGAAGTCACCTCGCAGAGAACGCAGCTGCCTCGTGCAGCTTTAAACAGAAAACACAAGAATAAACGCTAACAAAAATACCACACTGCCACATGCTGCTTCATCTCGTCACATTCAGGATGTCTTTCTCAGGAAAGACATCCTGAGACATCCTCGAGGTGTTGTTTCAGGTCTAAAAAAGAGACTTAAACTGCTTTTCTGCATGAATATGTGGTGTAGTTGGGATTTGGCGTTTAACATAAGCTTGTTTGCACATTCTTTAACTTTCCTGCTTTGCTGTTTAACAGACTCAAACCAGATGTGGCAGTGCATATTAATATCATATCCCAGCTTGTTTTCAGTATTCAGGAGATTATACATGCAGTGGTACTTACATGTGCCAATTCATTAAGGTAATATTTGATTATCCTTATCATGAGTGGAATATTATTCTGCACCTAAAGGCCCTGAGTCTCACTGCGAATATCTCTATTTTGCCCATTCGTAACAGTCTTGGCGATATTTGTACGGGGAGATTCAGAGGAGAAACCTACTATCTTTCACATATTTAAAGCTGCAGTTGGTAACTTTTATAAAAAAAACTACTTTTTGTCAATATTGCTGAGACTTTCCTGTCATTAGTACATAAAACAGATAACTTATGAAAATATGTGGTTCCTCGCCTATGATTGGTTGTTTTTATTCGGGCCCGGTGGATTCTCACAAACGTCATTAGGAGCACTAGGGGGAGCCAGAGGAACCTGATTATTCCACAAATAATCCGTCTCATGTTCTACTGTCAGGATATAGTAAACGTTTCAGCAAATATGACAATTTTTTTTTATAAAAATTACCTACTGCAACTTTAATCTGTAATCCAATATCTTCAACGGATTTATTCCAAAATACTCGTTCAAAGAGGTCAGAAATAAACAAAAAGTAACTTTCACACCCTCAGGAAGACGTAAGGTGTGAATTCAAGCTCCCATTTCAAAATATCTGTTCACCATAATAATAATAATAATAATAATAATAATAATAATAATAATAATAATAATAATAATAATGCTCTGTGCTGTA